GAGAGAAAAAGGGGAAAAGGAAAGGGAAGGGAGTTAATCACGAGAACAACTGAAGGTCTGCGAGACCTCCGAGCTGGGAACTGGAAATACATGGAAGAGGGAAAAATGAGAAATGAACAGAAAATCTGTAAGTAATCCTCTTCCCACAAAACACTTGCATTTCTTTTAACTATCCAAATTATTTCCTTCACCCAGTACAGGAAACAGGGAGAAAAATTTAAAAGTTGAGATAACTGCGAGTCGATAGCACTCACATTGATAAATTCCCAAAGAGTGATCAACCACCTATTTTCTACAACAACTCCTTGCAGCAGGACAATATGAGCTCCCAGCTAAGGACAGTACCTTTTTCAGCCAAAGAGATCAAGAATCCACCAATGCCCTCAGTACATGGAATGAATAAAGACAAACCTAAACAAGACTACTGAGCTGCAAAAGAAACCCAAAGGCAAATAAAATTCAAATGCTCTACTCTCCTTAACACTGAAACCAGAATGTAAGATGGTTTCAGAAGGGTTGCATGTCTCAGGCAACATCTAAGAGCAGGACCAGCATCCTGACCCCAATGAAGCCACCACTAAGATTCCGAGGTGGGTGTAAGCAGGATTTTCCTCTGGTCTTTAATGCCACAAGTGACAGAAATTTGCAGTTCTGTGAGGTCCTTTTCTTTCCCAAACACCAAATCAACTCTACAATGTTTCTTTAAGACACACTTTAACCTCCAGTGTGCTCATTTTAATGCATTAAGCTGGGTTTGGGTTTGGTCTGAAGCACAGTCCCAGGCTTTTGCTAAAGCCAGGCACTGCTGCTCTAATGAATTGTTTTAAGCAGCAGGTATTTCTATTTATTCTGGCATCAAATAAAAACCCGCCCTGGAATATACAGAAACATTCAACATGAACCACTATGGAAAATGTTTTTAATGTGAGAATTCCTTTTCCACTCAGAGTAAACCAGCTAGTCTTTTCCCTTTCCTTGGGGATGAATTCTCTGTTGGCAGGGCACTGGAATCAATACAACACAGGGAGGAAGATTTAAATTAACAGTACAGACAGTACACACAGAATTGTCTGCTGCTGTGGACAGGCCAGCCAGAGATGGCAAGCGGCCAAGGAAAAGGTAAAAATGTGCAGTCCCTTATTCAGGTGTTTTACATGGAATAAAAAAACCTACTTGGAGACACAGACCACAGATCCTTTTTTGCCAAACCTGGGCATATTTTGAAACACTTTACTGTGATAAACAGCCAGGAGATGGGAATGTTTTTCTCCAAACACTGATTCACTTGTGGAAAGAGTCTGGAAAACTATGTTTCTCAATCACTTCCACTCTGTGCTTGGTTTTCTCCAGGCAGCTATTCCTTCAGCTCAGCCTGCCCCTCTGCAGTACACACACTTACTCTGCTTTCTTTTCCCCAACATCAAGCCACAGAGGAGCACATGTGACTGCAGCAGAGGTAAAGTCATTTTTAACCAGGGCAATTTAAGGATATTTAAGACACATTCTCATTTTCCATTTCCCAATTCCACACTGCCCCCAATTTTATTATTAGCTGAATACAGGGAAGCTTCAGCTTGGATCTGGGGTAACATGTACACTGAGGAATGAAGGCCAAGTTTGCTTTGAAATATGCAGGATCATTCCTAACTAACCGTAAAGCTGCTTATTTGGCACTGGCAGTGGAAATATTGAACGAAAGGGGCATTCTCAATCTGCTTATGTCACAGAAAGGTTGGATTCTGACAGTGTGCAAGGCTCCAAGCTGCAGCCTGATATTAATAGCAAGACATTAAACTCACAATTTGGCTGCCTGGGAGGCAGCTCTGCTGGAACACAGATTTTTCTGCAGGAAACGGCAGCTCTGGGTGAGGGATGAGCCCGAAGCAGACTCGGGAATTTTCACTGGTGTGTGGTAAGGCTGTGTCACACAAAGAGAACCTTCCTGCTCAAAGGGAGGAGCAGATCCCACAGCAGAGGCTGCTGGACCACAACTGTTCCACACAGGAATACTGTTTTCCTTCTGTCCACCTCCTCTTGAATCCATCCATTCCCAAGCCTACCTTACCCAGCCAAGTGGGGCAATGAGCATTAACAAACTATTTCTTACACAAATGTGGTTCTGTCCCATGGTGCAGGCAGTGGGGTCTACACCCCAAGACATATCTACACATTTTTCCCATTTTTGAGCTTGTTTCTGCCATTATGTAACCCTCCACATTACCCTGGCAGCTGGGCCAAGAAAATTTGAACCAAGTCCCCAGAGCAACTGGTTTCAGTGAGGGGCCCCTGCCAGAATACAAATACAAACCTCCTGCTGCTGTTTTCTTGCTGTGTCTGCATGGCAGGCAAAGATTCCAGACAGGTTTTTCAATATGGATCTTTCAGAGCACAAATGAACACCTCTTATGAGCCATTTAAACTTCATAATCCCACTTCCCAACAACAGCTGGGCCTCAAGGCTTCTGCCAGAGTAAGTTCTGCTTCCTTATTTCTCACAACACAAAGAAAATCAAGGCATTGTCACTGAAAAATAACATTATCTACAGGACTCAGAGTCCTCTTATTTCAGGACATATAATCCAACCGATTCCTTAGAGTCTCTTGAACATGACTAAGCAACATTAGATTTTGGACATGTACTGCATCACACCCCCAAGAACCCCACACTCTTTACAAGAGACCTCTCTAAGCCATGCAATCTCCTGTAGCTTTGCACTCAAAATCCTCATTTCACAGAGGTAGACAGAAGCATTCAGAATGCAAGTGACTTGCCAAATGTCACAAAATGAGTCAGTGCCAGAGCTGGGAATAGAAATCAGGAGTCTAAGAGTCCAAATTCTCTGCCTTATATAGAGCAGCAACCTCAGTCTCCTGGTTTAGGAGAGCTCACTACATTTACAGGATGGCAGCATTGGCACTGCAAGGGCCAACCTCAGCCATAAGCAGGTGTAAAAACACACATGCACCTGCTGAGACCATGTTCTTCATCTGTTCAAGTGTAAAGCAAGAAATGAAAGCAAGCTGCTGTTGTAGAGAACTTTTGGGGTGTGCAACAACCTCAGCATAACCATTAAGACCAAATGTGATGTCACTCACTGGACTCACTTCTTGCTCCCACAGGCAGTCCTGCTGATTTGGAAAGGAGTATCTGGGAGCTGGAGTGAGAAACAGGAATCTGGCAACAGCAGAGATGGTTGAAACACAAGATAAGCCTTCCCTAAGCCAGCATGGAGGATCAATGGGCATCCACCTGTCTCAGTTGTTGCACTCATATTAAGCCCAAGTCAAAGCCATGCTACATTGCTGCTCATACCACCCAGGTGTGTGCACATGGCATGGAAGCCTGGCTATTAAAAACCTATTTATCAACAACTGACACCTACTCTTCCCAATCCTGACAAAGAGAGAATATCTTGCATGGTTAAAATTTGGTACTACCAACACTAATCACTTTCTCAAACCAGCTGCGTGTCACGCACGAGCATTCATTAATTTATTCTTCCTCTGCCATGAAAAAATGCAAATGGCACAACAAGGCCAAATGGGGCACAGAAAATGTGTAAGTGAAGATATAAGTGCTTTGCTGCCACATAATCAAATGGCAGAGGAGAAGGTAGGAAAAGCAGCACTGAAGAGAGCAAAGAGGCCAGACTGGTTTTGTCCCAGGAATATTCACTTTCTAAATATCTTGGACAACTGTGCTGGAAAGAGTAACAAGTGAGTTTAATCTTCATTGCTGTGATCTACTTTCTCCACTGCAGCCACAGTCTGCAGCAACTTGCAGCACAAGAAATAACTTGGGTATTGTAAGAACAGAAAAGAAGTAATAAAAATATTTCCTTAGTCATGTTGTCTCTGGTAATATAATTCCCTGAATAGAGATCTTCAACAATACTCTCTTTAAATATGGAAAGAGCTCTGACTTTAGTCAGCATGTGTATTCCATCAGCTTCTCTCTCTTTTTTTTTTTTTAACTTCTTTATTGTATCTTACCACAGCCACCTCCAGGTGCAGGCACACAGTGTAAAAACCTTCCTCAGTGGAAGTGTTTTTCATTGCACACAGAATAAACACATTGTGAGGGATTCCAAATGGAAAAAACTTGAACACAGAGGCCAGTCCTTGCTCATGGGTATATATCCTCCAGCCCTGTATTTCCTTCTTTCACCTGATGCCCACACCAGGGAGGGAAGCAGCTGCATTCCAAGAAGAGCCTTCCACAGGGCTCCTGCTGAAGGCACTTCCCTCCCTGCTCTGCATCACCCACTGTCCATAACCCCTGCAAGTGTCTCCCTGAACACTGGAGTGTAACAACAGCTGAAAATTAGGATCCATCCCAAGTTTACACAGAATGGAGGATGAGAGGCCACCTGAGGCAAGTTAAAAAAGTTCATGCCATCATCACAAGAGAGAATGGTGAGCTGTGTCTCCAAACACTGCTGCCACTGTGGGGATTAAAAAAAAAACAAAACAAGAGAACATGGTGAAGGTTACTGCTACCTGAATGAAATAAATAAAGTATTTAATGTGTGGGATGTAAGGACCCTGTGTCTGCAGGCTTTGGACACGAGTAAAGGCAGTTAGGAAGTAGGAGGAGCAGGAGGCTGAAAAGAAGATTTAACTTGGCTTTCCCACAATGAGGTATTCTTCTCCAGTGACTGAGTGCCAGCTTGATCTAGGAACGTCACACAGGTTCTCACAATGGGAAATACACCCCTTAGTTAGCAAATTCTTGTTTGAGGTGAGAGAACTGAAAGGAACATTATACAGACACACCAAGAGATAGTTTCTTCTGCATCCAAAGAATGGATTAGAAGGGGTTAAAATGTAATGGCTTATTTATAGCTCATACCTTACTCAGCTAATCCATATCTGCATCACAGAGGTACACAGAACAGCAAAACCAACATTAAAGCAAACCAGGAGTGCAAGATTGCCCAGAACACTCCCCTTAGCACAGATGTGCCTATCAAATACCCTCCCATGCCTCTTGCACTTACCCACAGTGTCACAAGGCTCGTCTTTGTGCACGCAGAAATCTGTCCTAGAAAGAAAAACAGAACAGAAGTGAAATGTATCCTATGCCTCCAGACCAGGAAAAAGCAGTTGTGCATGACTCACATATCATGGGTGTTGAGGTCTGGGGATTTTGTAAGGCTGCTGTGCAGTCTACATGATGACAACACAGATAGCAGCCCTAATTGCTACTGAGATTACAGGCAATTATGTGAATCAGCCCCATGTACCACAGTCCAATTTAAGAGACTTAAGAGTCAGCACCCAGAAAGCCCTGCCTCAGTCTGTGATGTCACATTCATTCCACAGCTGGATTAAAACTGAAGCTCTTTCCACAAGAGAATTGTAACAATAAGGAGCAGACACCCTGAAAGACAGTGAGAGGAGAGGTGTGGGGCACAGCCCAAGGGCACAGAACTAATAATATGTACACAGAAATTCTCAGTTCTTCAACAGAATAGAAAAGACCATGAAAAAAGCAGGACTAAAGAGAGACAGACAGATGTTGACACAGAAGAAGAAAGAGAATTTCAGGATTTTCCTGGTAACGGGCAAATTGGCTTCAGCTAAACTTATTACAGTCAGATTTGCCATGTTATGGTTTGAATCCAACACAGAGAGCTTCAAGAGACTCCACTTGGTTGCCCACATCTCATCAAGGCAGAAGACACAATAGATGCCAGTGGCATCCACAAATCACCCAGGGATCCATAAAGTTGTATTAAACAAAAACAGAATAAAAGCCTTGAAGCTCACCATCAAAGCACTGACACTTAATGTGAGAATGTGAGATTCCTCATGACAGAAAAACAAGTGTGTGTGGGGGAAAAGTATTTTATAACTAAATGAATAGCTTGAATACATTTCAAGATGCACTTAGACCTAAACTTTTAGGAGCTCTCTTCACCAGAATTGCTTTGCAGTGCAATCCACAATGAAAACATCACCAGTGCTAAAACATTTCAGAAGTTCCTCAAGCCGAGGGAAGCTGAGGAACTGCAGTCTCTATCACCTTGGCTTTCCTCACCCTGGGAATAGGCAAGAGAATCCTATTAGTAAATCTGGAGTGTGCCATTTGAAATGCCTGAGTTCCCTTGGGATTTGGAGTGTAAGAGTTTGGCAGGAGGAAGATCAAAAATACTTTGAGAAAGATAAATACTTCAAAAAAGAAAATACTTAAGAGAAATATAAAAATAGATAAATATTAAAAGTGCTCTTTCCTTGAAGAAAGTTATGAAACTAGAGTTTATAGGAAAAGGGATTTAAGGCCCAGGACTGTGGCTGATGAATCCAGACCCTCTACACCAAACTCCTTTGAAAGCCACAAATCAAGCTGTCAAGGGCTTGGAAGGAGAGCACAAACAGCCATTACCAGTTCTTGTTCAGCAGACATGGAAAACCAACCACGCTTCAGTGCAGAAAAAACATAACAACCATCAAAGCGTTAAAAAAATCAGACAGGAACCAACCAAAAATCGGAAGCTACGACCACACACCAGCCTCAGCTTTCATTTTTCACTGCAGCCTGTGTCTCAACACCTTGGCATTCCAGCCTTCCCAAGGAAGACTAATGACAGTCTCCTGACGGAGCTGGCACCAGCACGCCTGCTCGGCTTCCCAGAGCCAGCTTGACAAAGGTTTATTTAAGGACTTATTATGTTATATAAACTGCTAAATCAAACAGATGCTTTTCTTGTGACAACAGATAGCTGAACTATTAGTGGATGGCAGGAGGCCACAGCTAAAAAAGCCTCTCTCTCTCTCTCCAAAGCCTGTCCAGCCCTGCAAATAATGCACAGAATTTCTGCTCCTCATGCTGTCCCACACCAAAAGGCATCTGGCACTTTTTGGCAGCTCCACAGAGGAATTACCACCATGTTATTAAATAATGGGTAAATAATCCAGCACAACTTGCAGACTCCCCTACAGAGGTAGAACAACCCTTATGTGTGAAGAGAGTGCTGTGAATGCTGTTTGGTAGGGAAGGGCTCAAAGCACATCATCAGCAGAACTGAACATCGCTGGCAATTCAAGTATAAAACCTGCTCAGCCCATCCTTAAAGCTGTCATAAAGGAGAAGACCAAGAGACTACATCTTCTGTTCAAAGGTATGTACAAAAATGCCAGGATTTAAACCATCTGGACCATTGCAAATATTTTATCCCAAAACTCTGTGGCCAAACAGAAAAGCACATCCAGACCTTTAGTCACAAACCAGCTCGGTGGGTGTCTCAGTCTTCTTCCAAAGGCAAGGACACACCTCATCACAAAGCCCATTGCTGAAACTCCTACAGTCCTTCCCTGGCAGCCAGAGGGAAAACACAGCATGGAAAGGTGTTAAGAATGATCTGTCTCACCTGTGGCTCAGTCACACCAGTGATTTAAATGGCTCCATCCTGGCACCTGACACTGATCTAATTTTAAAAAGGTTTCAATCGCAGGTATCTCTCTGGCACATTTTTGAGCTCAACTGCATGGGTAATTTTGAAGTGAAAGCTTGACATGACAGGTACTATGATACTCAACAATGCAAGAAAGGTATTTTAATATTTATTGCATGTGCAAAGGTCTCTTACCACAGAGACATAGTCCCGTTAGCAGAATTTTTACAGAGCTCTGTTGAAATAAAACTACTGCAGGAGCTGCAGTTCAAGTCCAACATCTGACCTTATCACACAAGGTCTTGGATAATATATTGAAATCACAGCTCTAGCTGTGAACCAGTTTTACTCTTCACTTTTAGCCATTGACTGAATCAAGCAGGACATGAATTCTCATCCTGTGACCTGTGAAATTCTCAGTCATTATCATGTGTGGTACCCAGCAGAGGTTTCCCTTGGCATAGTATATAACAATCCTCAAAAAAATGATAACAAGTTAGTTGTTTTGTTCAATAAAAATAGCCAGAAGAGCTCAAAACTCCTCCTACAGTTACTCTTCCATCTGGCTCCCACCAACTGGAAAAAAATACCTAACTGTGCTAAGCTGAACTCTGCAATTCAAGTCCTTCCTGTGAGAAAGAAGGACAGAAGTTGAACTGTGCAACAGGAATAAGAAGCATTCTGTTAAGTGGCCATTCCCAGCATCCTTCAAATGACATCTTTTGACCAGTCTAACCCTGCAGGGTCATAAAGCTAAAGGACACAGGAAACTGGTATAGTCCAGAACCTGCCAAAATAAACTTTCCACATCCATAGGTACATTCAACAGCACTATGTGCCCAGTTTCCTCCATGCACAGTGAATTCCTCCATTTGCCCATTTAATGGGAAGGCAAAGAGCTGAAAAGGTGGAAGGGAGGATCAGGCTGCAAATGAAACAACTACACCACTGTGTCAGGAAAAAACAGTCTTTGCATAAAGACAGCTCTGAACCTGTCAGTGCTGGGACATTTTTTGTTCTGCTGTCAAATCATCTACATCTAATATGTGACACAAACACCTCCAGCCAGGAGCTGGGATAACATCAGTGCGCCTGAAGATTTCCCAGGGAATGCAAAAGACAGAGGGATCAAGAGAGGGAATGTATTTCAAATGAGACATGCTTCTAAAATCACTAAGATACTGATTCTGCAGACAGAAGTTATTCTTGTCAGCTGCCTGTTATAATATGAAGTACACTATCCAAAGATGCCAGAGACTTAAATTTCTGCAAGTTCAAAACCAGAATCTGAATGAGGAAAGTCTGATGGTTATAGAGACCACAACACTATATTCAGACCTTCAGGGCTGTGGCAGATTATTCCCACTGTCTCACTTATTCACTAAGCTGCACAATGCATCTAATTTCACAGGCACAGTGTGTCCCTAACCTGGAACTCAGGTGGATACCATTAAAATCCCACAAGAGTAATATTTGCCACCTACATAATCTACTTTTACATACAAATGAGGATATGGGAAACATCACTTAGAGGTGAAGTTCCAAAAGGCAAGCGTGCCTTGGTGTTTCAAATGAACCCAGCCAGATTGGAACCAGAGGGATTTCTTCAGAGCTTGACCCCAAAGAATCTGTTTCTAGTCCTTAAAGCAGCTGCAGCTGCTGAAAATTCAGCTTCTGCTTTTTCTGGCGCAATTGCTTGTGCTGGACATGCTGTTGCTCGCACATCCTCTACCACTGGTCCATCTGTACAGTCTGGGGAGGGTCCAGGGACACACACACACACACGTTTCCAAAGCCAAGAGGAGAAAAATTCATTTCCCTGACACAGGAATGGGGCTGCTGGCCCAGAAGTCTTCCAAACAAAGCAGCATCCTCCACGCAGCAGAAGCAGGAGGGGTTAAGGATGACAGGACACAGCAAGAAGGATGGAAAGACTCCAAGTGCACACTGGGACTCTCCAGCAGCAAAAATGCTGCTCCTGTGCTCAGCCATGTGCTCCTTGGCCTGAACCTTCTCACCAAAGCTCAATCTGGTTTCTAACCCAACTTTCCCAGCTATTTCCCAGCTATTTCCACTGCAAAACCCTGCAAATCCATTGAATGATTCCTTCTACGAATTCTTCTACAGCTCTTCCTCAGCAGCCTGAGTCCAGCTCATTTAGCCTGACATCATGCATTCAGTTTTGAGAGCTGCAGAGGTGAAATGCTCTGCTCATTCCCCTCACCCTGTGCTCAGAGCCCATCAGAAGAGATTCTCTCTATCTCACTTGTCATGCAGGACAACTGGATACCCAGATGAGTTTAACAAAAATGTTAGTTATTTATTTAGGCCCTGATCCAGTGGAGCACATGCTTAACTACAACCAGGATGTACAGCCTGTTGACTTCAAAGGAACTATTTCCCCTGTCTAAACTGTTAAATATCTGCACAAGTGCCTGGTGGACTGCACTGAATACAGAGGAGGGAACAGGGTTTGGGGGAGCTGCACACACGTCTGTGAAGGAGATTTCTCAGGAACTTTGCTGGCCTCATGCCCTCCACACCAGCTCTTTCACTGAACACTCACCAGAATCCCATGGACAGTTTGCAGTGGGGCTGTTAACACAAATCTAACACTAGAGATTATTACAATCACGATGGCAGTTTATGCAAAAATATGTATTTCTACTTAAATTGTTGGCAGAGAAAATAAGTGAAAGAGGTAATATTGAACTGCAATACAGACATTTCCTGTCTCAAACTGGGGGAGAAGGGGGTAGGAAGTAGTGGTTTTCTAGCACAATGAGCATCCACATTACACCTTAATTTTGTATTCACTTTAATTATTCAGAGATCGCTTCTGTAAAAATGAATACTTCTTTTACATCTTAAAGGATGCAAAAAACTTAAAATACCATGAATTTGCTATTCAGAATTTGTGGTAACTGTGGGGAACATGGGACTTGGATTGTATTGTGAAGTTGAGCTCAGATAGAGGAAAAAAAGACTGTTGTCCCTACAACACCCTTTTTCTTGCTTTATCTGATGTGTTTAACACATCAGTAAGTTCAGAATTACAGTGGGCAAAGAATTTTGATTAAATATTTCTATAAAGATCATTTCACATTTGAAATAAATGCATGAGCTTTCAAATACACAAACCAATCAGGAATTACACCCCTCCTATATCTCAGTTGTCATAGAGGAGAGTTGTTGAAGTGGTTATTTCTTTGGGCAAAGAGAGAAAAAATTAATTTAGTTTATGGTATTTCTCTCCCTCTTTTTTTAGGAGATAACTCCCTCCCCACTGCTGACACAGTGCCTGCTCAGCCGATTCACCCCTAATTGCACACAGAGCACCTGAGCTCAGCAGTGTTCTCAGCTCCACACCTTCCTTCTCCTAGGAAGGAGGGCTCCAAAATCTCCCCTGTATTTTCCACTCCTACCAGCTGGTGTGAGAAAAGCACCCCTGTGCTACAGCCACATCCTGACCCTGACTGTGACACCTTGGCTCAAGAGGAGAGATGCTTTTGTACAACCTTGTTAAGAATGCACAAAAACAAGAGAAAGCACTTTCACCTGAGGCATCTGAGCAGCAAATGTATCATCTTTTTCTTAGATTTCTGCTCAACCAGATCTCTGACCATGGGGGCATTACTGCTTGAAGCAAATTGACAAACCAGACCTTCCCATACCTGGTCACAAAAACAGCAGCATCCACAGGAGGGGTGTCATCTCTGGCACCAGGAACCTGGTTGTTACCAAGGTATTTTGCCCCACCATATTCTTCATTTTGCCACTGACAGAAGCTCTCCAGAGACCTCTCTCCATGATGCCCAATGGACAACTTTGCCTTTGGGGGAAAAAAAAAAAGATATATAAAAGGAGAAATATCAGCCCCAGTCTTTAGATAAAGCATCACACCTCTCTGTAACAGTTAACTCCAGACTGGTTTGCAGCTACAAGCAGACAGCTTTACCAGGAAGGATAAATAAAAGGATTCTGGTTCCTTTCACTGCCAAAGACCCTGTATTTCCCACCTTTTACACTGCCTGGTGAAGTGGAACAGGCAATTCCTCACAGTTTGTGATCCTGAGGCCAGACATGCCCCACATCCCCCTCCCACCCTGTGGGACACCACAAAGCAGCTCCAGGAGCAGGGGAGAAAGGGGTTGGAACTCACAGGGCGACTGTGCAGCAGGACTAGTTTGGTCACTCGAATGTTGACTTTAATTCCCAGGCTTTGATGCTGGAACATGTTGTACACCTGTCAAAAAGCAAAGAAAACATCCAGAGCTTATTAGTAGAAATATCAAGACCTAGTAATAGTAAAAGAAACTAACTGTGACTAAAGTTAGACATTTCTCCTTTTAAAAATTGACACAAAAACTCCCCCCAAATGGATTGTGCTACTACACTCAATACAATAAAGAATTTTAAGAGTCGCTGTGAAAAGGAGAACAATATTCCAAAGGAACTCTAAAGAGAAAGTCTCAGGAACGTGGACATACGCTATGAAGCATTCAACTAACATGGATCTTCAGCATTAAATATCAGAGATATCTGAATGCAAGATGAAATAATGGTGTGTTTTAGACTTCAGGAAATAGAATGGAAAAGCAATTTCCCTCTGTTATTTTCATATCTTATATAAGAGAATAGTAATAAGGCAGCACATAATGACACAAGCCTCAGGAAATACAAAAATAGCCCCGGAAACTACCTTACTACTTTCTCCAGATTTTGCATTCCAGCTCAGATACTTCACCTCATTTTTATAGGTTAGAATATAAGATCTTAATTGATCCCAGAGTTTTATTCCACCCTTTTCTCACTGTACAAATGTTTTAACTAGACAGTATCAAAAAAGGTGAGGGAAGGATTTATTTCAAAAGGTGTAAAATGCCACATAAAAGGCCTTGGGTTAATATTGTATCCCCTACTTTGTCAAAAAAACTGAAATCAAGACCAGTGAAAAGAGACTCCTGACAAATGGGAGGCAGGTTTGGCCCCAGGTAAGCAATATTCCTTCCTCACAGCTTGTTTGGCTACAAGCATCACTCAGGCTCAGAAACTTCCTACAGCAAACCCGAGACACGAGCACATCTTGCACATTATGCTTTCAACGCTTGGTGTTTTTCCTATTTGTGCAAATGCTCCAGAATGTGCTCAGTGGAAGAAGCTCTCCAGTGTTTGGGGTTGGATTTAAGCACACACATAAGTGTTTCCTACAATTTAGGCACAGATTGCAAGAGAGAGCTACTCAGTGTTTGACCCAGTGACCTTCGGCTGAGCACAATGAGCCATTTCTCTTCCCTGGGGCTGGTGTACAAGTGCACACAAGGGCTGGCACTATTTGCTTAGCCTGGAGATGTGCTGGGAGAGCAGCTCAGGCCTCTCACTACAAACCTGGGGGGGATAAACTTGACAGTTGCAGAGAAGGGCTCTGACAGATGATCCTTGTGTAAGTGGAGACCTGGACATTCAGCTGGGAGGGTCAATGGGGCACCAGGCTGAGGGGGTCAACACCTGCTGCACCACTACAGAGGCTGACAAACACTTCCCTGGCAAGGCTGGAGGGGTGGATGGAGGGATGTCTTTGGTTTCCCAGCTCTCCACTAGCTCTGGCCATCCCATGAAGTTCCCACTCATGAAATGAGAATAAATCCAGCAAATGGGTCCTTGTCACTGAGCCTGGTGAGTGCTGGTGCTTGGCTTCCCATCAGAGCAGTCAAGCTGCCTCCAGAGCCAGCACAGACAAATCCAAACACCACTGACTTCCAAAGGCTGTTTGCCCTGGCAAAACTTGCTCACCAAGCACCAGCTGCTGGACAGTTCAGGGTGTCATCTTGAAAGCTGCCAGCCCTTCCTCCTTTTCTCTTGTGCTCTCTGTCCTAAGGAGAACTCACTGGGATGAAAGGAAGGGATGGGAAAAGGGATGGTCATTGTGACTGAAGTGTTGTGGGTGCCCAGCTGCAGGTGAACTTCTACTCTTCTCTACTGACTTCTCTGTGGAGTCATCAGAAGTAGGGTAAGCTCTGGAAACAGGAGATATGGTAAAGAACCATACAAAACAGACAGGAAAAAAATGGAAGGGGAAGTGCAGTAGAACAAGAAGAAGAATAAAGCCTGTCTCTGGCATCTCCCCCTTCACCTGCATTTCTCTGACAGAGCTTTACTGTACAGAATGCCCTAAAGAAAACAGGAAAGCTTGAAGGCTGGACCGTCCTCCTCTGTTTGCATTCCTCCTGCTTTTCTTTCTCCTCACAGCTCTGACATAGAAGGGGCAGAACAAATGCAGTTTTGGCATAAGCTGTGCAGGCCTGCCCCAGCATGCACAAAGCAAACACAGACATAAGGAGAAAGAGGCTGAGAGAGGAATTAAACTACATCATTTTAATTTTTTTTTAATTCTCAAGAGCTTCTTCTGCAGGTGGATGGTGGGAGGGAGACGTGTGTGCTTCAGATGTTTTGGAGTTTAGAACAGCAACCCTGAGGGTAAATTGACTTTTCCCCCCTTTTTCTTCCCTGAGTACTGCACTCAAGCAGGAGCCTTCCCATTGCCTTGGCTGCTGGATGAGGTTTGGACAGCAGAAGCCTTAGTCAGGTTACTGAGGTTGTCTTTCTCTTGTTTTGAAAAGTGCTATAGGATTTCTAACACCCACCTAAAGCCAAGCTTTCAAATTATTCCTTTAAACATTATAAAAAAGAACATGTTCATAGCTCTTTATAAGATACAGTTGACATAACTCCTTCTCCTGGGGCTGCTAGAGCAAAAAGAGAAATCTGTAGACAGTGATGAAACACTCAGATCCTTTTCCCTTATGTCCCTGTTCCCATTATGAAAATTCCAGACCAGGGTAAGGGAGCTGATTATCAGTGGCAGCTCTGGAGCCTTTATGTGCCAGCCCCCAAGAGCACAGACATATAAATCCATCAATGCAAGCATGATAAAAATGACTTTATCTGCTTTTTTAACATTAAAAAAATCCTCACAGGGGAAATCCAAAATGAAAAACAATCTGTGGAGCGTAAAATCCGGCTTCAGAGAGTAAAACAGTATCATTCCTAAAGAACAACATAAGAATTTTCCCTCTTAATGACATCCAAAAGATCACTAACTTCAAGTTCCTGCTTGCTGCTGCAAAGAGCTTCCACAGTAATCTCATGGCTTAGCAACAGCTGCAGAACTGACACACACTGCAGAAAGTCTCCCTCCACACTGCACTCTCAGAGAAAAAGGCAAGCTCCAAACCAAGCCCCAGTTGTAATTTATTGCAAAACCCAAAAAAAATACACTTAGGGGACAAAAAAAAAAAAAACAAAACAAAACCAACCCAAACCAACCCAACTCATTTTTTTTAGGTTTTCAAACCCATAGGAAGCAGCTGTTAAATGACTATGTTGTGGTCTTGGAAATTCAGAAATTCAGACGTCTCTGTCTCCAAATGCTCTGAGGGTCAGTCTGGGTGGGACTTGGTTTGCAAAGTCAGCTCTGCACTCTGCAAGGAGCCAACATCCACAACTCCCTGCTCAGGGCCAGGCTGAAAACAGTCACTCCTCATCCCCAGCAACACAACAGCCAGGGGCAGGACTTTCCAAAGGTTCTCATTCCCATTTATCACCATTTGAACCTGTTATCTCCAGAACCATTTGAATCAATCCTCTCCAGAAAGCTGAAAACCTAAATCATGAAAACCAGACATAGCAGAGATCAGTGCAGTTCCTAGAATCCCCTTTTTCCTTTATTGGTCACTTCTTTCAGATGAAAAGCAACCACAAGAGCAAACAAAAGCATAAAACTCCTGCAAGGACAGAATATCCACCCTCACAGCTCCACGTGGATGAAATGCACTGAGAAATTAGTTGCCAGATGCAGACTAGCAGAATGGGTGAGCAAAATAAGCATGTTTTTAAGCTTGATTTACCACAAAGGCACTCAGGTTTGGAATTCAGAGGAAGTTCTAAACACTGGTGACTGTAGAACGAGGCCATGAACAGATGATTCTCTCAAGCAAAGGTGAGACAAGAACTGGAATGCAAATACTGCAATGAAGCTCAGTAACAAGGGAGTTTAACTCAGAAGAAGAGATCAGCACCTGTATTTAACTAGGTGGTTTTGCATTCCCACAGCTCTGCTGGTATTTCTCCCTGTCCGTGTTCTTCCACTCCTCATGCCCACAGTCTCACTGCCTTGCTAAGGCTGAGGCTGTGCATGGTGGCATTTAGCAACTTTAGCAGCTGTTTGGAAAATCATGCTGAATCAAACACCTTGCCAGAAAACAAGAAAAGATTTCTCTTTAGCAGTGGTGACTTACAGAAAGCCAACTCAAATCCCTGGAGCCCTGCTTGTTCCTACTCATACATTACAGTGCACCATAGAGGGAAATTCTTCCATGATCTTGGAAAAACCTGTCTTATAATTTCAAGCATTAGTTTAGTAAATGGAAGAGCCTGCACCTCTACAGTGACATTCACAAAAAACAAGTGCTTTTAATGTGAATCTATTTTCTGTTCAGGGGCATAGAACTACAGAATAACATTAAAAACACAGCGTTTGCTATATTAAGTGCTACCTTTTATTTCTGTGCTCCAAAATGGGTTTGCTGTGCTTTTAAGTTTTTATTCTAGAAGAGGGTGGTGGGGTTTTTTCTCTCTAAGATTCTCATTTACCAGGGGAGCAATAAACCTGTATTTTGTAATGCTGACTTTTTTTTCCCCCTTCAGAAATTCTTGTAACATAAATAGATATTAAATACTTTAAGGCAGATCACTTTATTTAAAATGTCTATAAATATAAAATGCATTAATAAGACCTCTTAATGCTTGTTTTGTGGTTTGACAGTAAACGTAATGGCTTACAGAGAGGAGTTAAGTTAATATACCCCTGACCAGTAATGTTCTATTTGCTTAAATGCAAGCAGCCAAGCCAAAATTAACATTCTGGTTTCTTTTAGAGGCAGCCTGCCATCCTGCAGTATAGCTGAATAAGCACTGCCTAATATCATGGGGCAAATCCTGTCCCCCAGCTAACAGTCACCCAAGGCTGACAGAGAGGCAAGAAACAAAGATCACAAGCAGTCAAGAGCTTGGCTTAAGGCCTCACCAAACCACATGATTATCTCTCTGAAATAGATTTTCCTGAATTATCCTTCAGCTTCTTTTCCTGGGATGATGGTCAGCTTTCATTACACAAATGTAACATCAAAATCCCCTTTGATTTCCCTGAATTCCACCTGGTTTTATAACCACAGAATAAAGGATTTATGCAATGATGCCATCTACATGTTTGCCTATCCTTATTCCTCACTATCTTTTGGTCTTGTCAGTCACTCTCAAGCAGTTTCCTTCAGAGGCCTGAAAAATGTTCCTAAGAGCGTGGGAATGAAGGTGACCAAGGCTCCCACTGCCCCTCTGAAGGCTGAAGAGCTGAAACATTAATTCAAATCCTATCAGACATCAGAAAAACTCACACCAGTGAGCCCCCAGGAGCAATGACTTCACAGTGGGAAGCATTTCAGCTGGACCTTGCACCTGAGGAGATGTCACATGAATGTGTTCCTCATCCAAGAGTCCTCTTCCATGTGCTCTCTCTGGTGTCTAATAAAGGGGTGAGCTCACCCTACAGCATCAGAACCCAGCTTAAAAGCCCATCAGCCTAATCCATTGGAAACTAACCTTCAGTATTTGTTTTATAAATGGGTTTAGAGAACCCAGCCCATCTATGAGCACCTCCCCATACAGATTTATTCACACCTGGCAAGCTGATGCTGCTGAGATGTTCTGCAGTACCTCAGCCTGGACAGACAAACAGGATTCAAAGACCCACAGCCATCTTTTGTTTAAGACTTGATCCATCAGTCTGGTCATCCCTAACAATCTTCACAGGCTGAAAAAGCTGCACAACATAGACATCCCCAATGGCCACAATGAAATCATTGACCTGCTGGCATGAGGTCATCACAATAACTGCAGAGCCACAGTGGAGCCCCATCGAGTGACAATTGTGAGAGTACACTGGGAGGCAAAATAAAAGGTAGAGGAAGGGACACAGAAAAGCAGCTCATTAATGGAAAAGACTAATCAAACTCCCTACTCAATCAGGAGGGCTCCCTCACACCAGCGCTTGATGAAGGAACACAAGACCTCTTAAAAAGCTGCTGTTCCATAGCTGGTTTATGCTGAGCATCCATCTCTTCACTGGGAGGCATGACCAGGCAATTACTGTTCAGGACTGTTATTTTTTCCCAAGCCAATTTGCTGCTCATAAACACCAGCAGAGGCACAGTGAGGAGAATGAGCTGTTCCTGGATATTACAATAGCATGGGCAAAGGAATATGAGATTCCTCCAAGACTTTCTTGTACAAATGCCTCTGCAAGGACCCCTGCAGCCTCTGAGCAGAGTTTTCCATGCCCACATCCAATTTAGCCATTAACTCCTTATTGGCACTGCCAACAGCTGAGTGAGCATTCCCTGTGGGAGGCTTTGTGTTCCCTTATCAGCTGAGCCAGAAGGCCCCACTACAGGGACAGCTCACAAATTAACACCCACACTTCCCATGAGCCTGCCATTTCCAAAGGTTCCCCTCATTCCCAAAATATATCCCTAGGATTTCTAAAATGATTTTCAAGCCCAACTCCATCAACTACTTATAGGTATGATCAGCAGCACTTTGTGCAGCCCTGGGCTGAAAAGAATGGGATCAGCCTGCAGTTTGGTCATAAGTTTGCCACGTTTTCTACATCAAGGGAAGCAGCCATTTTCATTGTGTAAAAAATCAGAGATGAAAATCATTCTGGACTTAAAGCCAGGTCTTCTGCTGGAAATCAATATGACTGCTGGCTTTAATTGCCTATAACAATGACCTGTATCTCTTGTGAAACCTATGGTGTGCCATAGAAATCTTTAGGAACCCAAGAAACAAGTCGGACAAAACCTTCCTCCAAGGAAAAACACAGCAACACCAAAAGCGTGGTAGGAAACACCACTCCTGAACCATTATTTCCTGAGTGAAAACTTGCATTTTCAGTTTAGAAAAATGGGGGTTTATTGTGGCACATACCATGAACAACACAACTGGAGAAGAGGCATGTAACACAAGAAAACCAAAACCTCTTCTCATACCCAAAGGTTAAAACAATTCTTGATTTCTGCTGTCAAGTCAGCTACCCTGGACACGTCCTGCTTACTCTTGATTCCTCTTTTGAGAGTAAAGTGCCTACTTACCATATTCATAACAGTGAGGATGAACCTTTGGGCAGCCTCTGCTCCGTGGTACTGCACCATGTCAGCATCTGCCACCACCAGCGCCTCCACCGTGTACTCGCTGGTGAGGCGAATCGCGTTCCTCCGCTCCCGCCAGTCGCTCGTGGACTTCACTTTCTTCTGTCTCTTCTTTTCTGAAAGGTCAAAATGCCTCTTAAGGCTGGCAGATCAAAATAAAACACTCCCAACCTTTTCAACAAACATTCTCATGCATATTCAGGTTGTAACAACCTTTAAATTAAAGTGTTCTTGGCTAGTTAAAGAAGAGGCTGCATTGCAGGTACATCTCTGCCCCTGAGTGCAGAGAGCAGCAGATGATGTGAAAAGAGGGAAGAGGATGGGAAAAAAACCTAAGTTCATGTAAAAAGAAAAAAATTAATTCAAATAAAAATACAGATAAGTTACAGGTAAGTTAAACCTCCCTTCTTCCCAACTAAAGGACTGATGTAGTAATAATTTGTCTTCCTCTAAGCTGATAGGTGAACTGTGTTTCACAGGCAGATGTGCAAAGCAGCTGAGGCATGACCAAAGGAGAAATTAAGTTCAGATATTAATTCAAACCTGATCACTTCACTGCAGCCACAAAATTGTGTTCGTGCTTTCAATTGTAAAAATAAAGAAGCAAATAGAGCAATTAAAACAAATAAATTTATTCTTGCAATAATAAACAGACTTCTAAGATTCACTTAAATTATCTCTGCCTACTGTTCAGCCTGTGATATACTATGGATACTGGCACTGCTATTACTATTGATTTTTTCCTCTGGAAAAGGGAGCAGAAAACACAAGTCCTGAAACAGCACAAACACAACATTCAGTGCAAAACTGACATGGGACAGAGCCTAATGGATGATCAGACAAATCCCTCTTATGTCATACAACACATGCTGCTTGTTCCCCAGAGCAGAGAATCACTTTTTAATTTTCTCTAGATTTAACCTGAGACCCTCTCTGAGCAAAGCAGCAGCCAGAGCTGAGCGGGTGTTCACTGATCCTGATTTTCCACAGCCTGTTTACCAGCTCCCTGACATAATTCAGCTTGAATTTCCCTTCTTTCCCAGATCATCAGTTTTCCCTGACTGACCCTGCTGCATTCAGGGTGACAAACTCCATCAGCTGCAAGCCCCACAAAGCCCACCTGAAATGGACTCCCTGCCTTTACCCATTCATGCATTTTCTGCCTTGTCAATATGCACATTTCACCACGTCTATCCCACCTCCTCATTCCTGATTTTCTCATAGTCATCCAGCACAATTCTGCACGTGCTTTTCTGCCCAAGGCATCAACTGTCAACACTTGGTACATATTTTAAACTGAGAAAACAACCATGAAATTTGATTTTTTTT